GTAGCAGGTGCCAGTAGGAAGTGAAGTCTGTGTCTTGTACCCTTATGGTAGTTATGATTTAAAAAGGGACTTGCAATTCAGATTGCTTTCGTAGCTTAAAAATACACATTTTTAATGTGTATTTCCAATTGCTCTATTGGAGCATAGCTTGTTTCTTGGAGAAAGACACGAGCTTTCAAAACTGTACACCTTTGAATTTCAAAACATACATAATGGCCTAAAGTTTCTACAAAACCATTGTCCTTCAGGTAGAGTGACTCTGAATGCCCAATACAAAATCTCCAGGGTCCTGGAAAGCCTGAAAATGCAGGAATAGATGCCCTTACAGCTTTATTGCCAGATCACCTTTTAATCCTCCAGGTGTTTGCTCCATCTCCAGAAGCTTTCTGGAGGACCAAATTAAGCCAAGGCCAACAGTTCCTCTAACCATTGTTGCATTTCACATGAAAAATGGGACAAAATGACCAAGTCTTTAACTAAACAAACTGTATCACACTAGCAAAGGAGTTTCTCACTTTGCAACAGACTGCATAACTCTAAAAACCAAAGAGAATTGACAACATTTTGAAACTGAAGAATTCATATACTATCAAAGTAATGGTGCTCAGTGGGGGATGCACACCTCTGTGAGGTACATAATATGATCTACCCTTCCCAAACTGTATCACTGAGACAAAGAAAATATGTCAGTAAGTCAGTGCAACAACTAAAAACAGAGCTGGAGCTATATAAATACCAATCTGATGACAAATGACAAACATGAGAATTCCTTAAATCAAACTTACTTCAAACTGATCTCATTGGAGGCCTTCTTTGCTATTCCTGAACCTCCTTTTGGCATAGGAGTGTACAGAGTAAGGACACACACATGCTCATTATCTGTGCACATTTGCAGGCTGAAATTCTAGTAAACATCAGATCACAAAAAAAGTCCTTGAACTTTGAAATAAAGAATAAAGCTTTGCCTTCTGTTATAATTAAAATTTTTGAGAAGAGCCTTCAGTTCAAGCCCCATGTTCACCACTGCTGTTCATTGACTGACTCGAGGATTCAAACTAGTACAGTAAATGGGAAAACCAACAGTTCTGTAAGGAAAATGTCTGGCAGGATTGCACAGTTCACATGCTGTGACTTTCATTATTCTTTACGTCTGCTACAGTAACTGTGCTTGTCAGCTTAAACATACTGATATCTACATACTTCATTTTTGTCTGAAAATATCTGTACCAAAACAAACCAAGCCAGATGTTCAGCCTGCAATGAGACAACAATATGAGGATGAGCATATGGCATTTCAATTCTTATGTCCTAGCTAAAATCCACTCCATCAACTAGTTTTGTTTCAGTATGCACACTTCATTAACACAGAACAACCTTTAAACATTACAACCTTCACACCACTGCAACCTATGTCAGCCTTTATTTTAGAAGACTTACCTGCCAGAAAGCATATTATTTGAAAACCCCTCATACTAAGGAATTTGGCTCATTAAGGAATTCATATGCTACAGTGCAAAACAAATTTACTAAGATTTTCTTTTGCTTTGCATTAAGAGAATGTTATCTGTTCTTTTTTCTTTGGCAAAGGAAAATGAGATATTAGTGCATATACCTGATCCTTCCTCTGGATTCCTGTCTTCTGATATTTAGATAAACATAACTTAATAGACCAGAAATATTTAATGTTTTACAAAGAGCTTCTGTTCACATTTGGTAAAACTTCTTTTGCTAGCCTATGTGCAGCAGGATTCTTGTGTAAGAGGAACCAGTTCGACTTCCCCACGAGCAGCTGTAAATGTAGGTACACATTCAAACTTGCAGTTGTCTGAAATAGCAGCACTCTAGACACTGAAAGTCAAGAAGGGCCAGCTCAGGTTGCAGGTCTGCATGGCCACCCCTGTGAGATGGTGTAATCACAAGCCAGTGAAATCCTTCTCCTCCTAGGAAGCTATTACTGGTCAACCCTTGCACTTCTTACAAGCACTGGGATTGGCCTTTGAGCAGTGATTCATGCAGGTATCACACTGTTATGCCTGCCGTGCTGCTGTCTTGGCTCACTGCATTCATTTCCCTCCTATTTTCTGCAAACCATACATAGCACACAACAAATTCTGTTCCAAATGTCTCCTTTTTTCCTTACCCAGAAGGTAGTTTAAAATCACAAATGGAAAGAATGTGTCACTTGAAGCCATGGTTGTGACTTGTTCACGCTTTGACTTCAGAAGAAAATGTTGCTTTTTAGCTATGGCAATTTCCAGTAGATTCCCCATTCCCTCGGCATTAATGAAGAACAGTTTTGTCTCATCATAGTCATTGGGAACTATTGGTTTCTCAATGCTTAGTTACAGCAATGATTTACAAATCATAAATGCCTAGAGCAGAGATGCATTTTTCAGGGTCCTTCACGTGCAGACTGCTTCAGCTGCAACATCAGAATGCCCGTTCTGCTTTGTGTAAAAGCACACACACCAGATCACTGTCAGTAGGAGACTCTAGTTTTCATCTCAGATTTATCTGATAGTGTGACCCTGGGAACACTTCACTTTCCTGCAATAAATAGCAAAGAACTACCAACTAGTTGCATTTATTTCCTAATACTGTAAGTTTTCAAGGCATTCTCCCTTTGAAGCATTTGTAAGAGCAGTACAAAAGATGCCAGGCAACACAAAATTCAGCTGAAGTACTTAAAGATGATTAAGATAACAGGTGCATCATACTACCCTGCAAGTGCAGGTACAGAATTCTCTCTGCTGCTACCAGAAATTAATTTCATAATATTAACACAGATCCGAGATTCATGATTCAACAGTACTTAGCACTTAGAGAGTTCACAGAGAACTGCAGGCTATGAAACTGTGCAATGACATTTGAATTCTTCTAGAAAACCCCAATGCCACGGATGAGAAATGTAGGAACAACTGGCAACAACATTTTTGTAACACTTTGGATCACTGAGGACATTTTACAAAGTGTATTGCAAGTAACCAGTCTACAGGGATTAATACTGAAATGCAAAAAAAGAATAGTGAATGAAGGAAAAGCATTCTGACCTAATTCTCACAACTCGAAGACTTATTTTAACTATCAATTCAAATATTAATTTAACAAAGATCTGGCTTCAGAAGCAGAAACAACTTCAGAAACAAGTTAATTTGTGTGTCAGCTGAGAAAGCAATCAGTTCTATTAGAAGTCAACTTTGGGTAACATTTAAATATATGCTAGACTTTTGAAAATTCTGAATATGACAGCAGGCAATATTACCCTTTTTTTTGAGTATTCAGGGAAGCTTTCACTTGCAATTTGTACTTCTGAATTAGTTACTTAGTTTGCATTTTTCTAAGTAATTATGACCAAATATATTTGACTAGAAAAAGAGCTACTCAGCTAACTAGCTGGAGTTGATAATTTTTACTTACTTAAGTTACTAAAAACATAGAGATTAGTCAACTCATGGCAAAATCAAACTCCCAATCAGCTGCAGACCCAGAAACTTCCCAGGTCTTCTGTTTAAATATTTCAAGGAGAAACTCTGTTCTTTCTCTCACAGGAGCTTTTCATAACAACACACCTCACAGTGCCAGATCATGTCCTGTAACGAAATACCTGTTGTATAAAATGAAATACCAGAAACAATATCTACCCATTGCAATCACCCAACAGATCATCCCCTTCTATAAAGCAAATTACCAATATGAGTGAAAACAGAGCCCTTGAAGGTAGAGATATGGTACCTGAACAACTTACTATGAGTAAGACAGGTGTGATCTTGCCATGGAATAAATGTGAGCACAAGGACAGCCCACTGCAGAGTAGCCTATGTGCATCCTTTTTACACTCCAGTTTACCTTGCACTGTCTTGCCCACCAAGTTGTTTCATGTCATTGGAAAAAAAAATCACTTCATACCTCCATGATTGTTTTCTCTCTCAATTCATTATTCAATTTTGGCTCATTTGCCTAAGAACAGCTTGAGACAACAATCTGTCTTCAATTTGAAATGTGCCTAATCTCATAATTAGCATCATGAAATTAATTTCTGGGGAAAGCAAGATAATTCTGAACCTGCCCTTGCAGGGTAGTGTGATGCACCTGTGATCTCAATCATGTTTAAGTACTTCAGCTGAATTTTGTGTTGCCTGGCACAAAAGGGAGTCCCTGGATTAAGGTATCAAGACACCACTACAATAGTAAAGAAAAGAAATCTTATTTACCTAAAGACAGTCTGTGATCTGTGTCATTCTGCTGAAACCGTGAAAATCCCTATGACAACAGTCTCAAGACAAAGTAAGCTGAAGTTGTCTTTCTGTTCCTATAAGAAAGACAGATTGTACTTATTGATCTCTAGGGTACAGGAGGTAAATTCATTTCTTAGAATCAGCCTTGGAAAAGGAAGACATTAGTGTAGACATATTGAAAGGCACAGCTGACCTTTTTCAATAACAGGTGTATATACAGAACAAACCCCTTCTACTCAGACGTTTATCATGTCCTTATTTCAAAGAGCAGCAGCCATTACACAGTGAAGCTCAAATGGCACTTCGGATTTCTTTTTGGTTTAAAAAGGGACATATCTTAATTGGAAACACACAGTTTTTCAAACTTCTCAATTTGCAGCTCCTGTATGTATGCTTATGAATACAGTGAAGTAAGAAAGGCTACTTAAGGCTCATGCTTGGTATTCTTGGTTATGTTTTGTGCCTCCTCATAGGTAATCTTAAATTTTGAAAGGCCTCTAGAACACATGTTCAATACCTGAAATCTCAGATAAGAGAGACAGCCAGACAGCAACTCCAATACTGTAACAATACTGAAAATACACCAGGCAAATCTCAAGAAACCATGCTCTAAAACCTCATTTAAAGCAACTGAGTGGTTGCCTTTTCTCATGGAGGGAACCTCCCCGCTTCTGAAATGCTCATTATCAATGCATAACAAATGAACTCAGTAAAATGGGGTAGCATTGTTACTGCTGCACTAATGTAATAATACACCAAAACATATTTCCTACATATATTTATTTGTGGCATTCACCCATACTGAGAATACAATTACAAATTATGCAGATAATACATACTGAAAGACAACATGATTATTCAAGATACAGAGTATTATTTACAGAAATGTAGTTATTTAGACAAGTAAATGTAATTCAGGTATACAATTTTATATTTATCTGTTGCTGAACAATGGTACAATAACTGAAATATTCAGAAGAGAAGTATGCTCTCATTTGGTTTTAAATAAAAAAGTATCGTTTCATTAAACTCTAACTTAAGAATTCAGACTAAGATTCATTCAGATGCAATTTAGAATGGGGCCCAGCTCAGTGAAACCCATGTCACACATCAAAACAAAGACAACAACCCTCTTAACTCAAACAAATAAACCAGAAAGAAAAATATAGATGGTACCAGAACAGAAAAATGTAGGTTACTTCTATCAATACTTATCAACTGTATAAGAAATGTTTGATGTTATTCAGCAACAATTTAGGAGTCATAGAAGATTCATATCCCTAGGTTATTTACAACAAAGGATTTCACAGCAAAGTACAGAATGGGTCAAGATTTCATTTCATATAGTGTTCTTAAATATTAATATTTTAAATACTTTTATTCTGCATACTCAGAAAATAATTCATAAGCCTGTAAGTGCTGTCTGAAAACAACTGAAATGGAAAACAATTCCAGAAAGGAATTCTATTCAATCAAGTTCTCTCCACAAACATGAAAACAACAAAGTGATACAGTTCAGCCTGGTCCTTGTAGGAGGAAGAAAAAGTTATCTTTCACGACATACTTCACAATGACCTTACAGAATTATTACAAACACAGCAGAACACCCAAATTACTTTTTAATCACCCTTAGAAAGAAAGGTTTGCTTAGTAACATTTTAACAAAACCGCAAAATTTTGAGCCCACGGCTGAAACAACTTTACTTCCAAAGCACAACAAACATCTTTGTTCCACAGAATTATTTCAGGCAGGTATTAACAACATTAAATTCATCTGGGGAAGATGCACTACATTGATCTAATAAATAAAGGAGCAGTCTATACATTAAAGACATAGTAAAACTTGAACTATTTCTCATTCTTTTTATAAACTAGCAGATACAAAACTATGGAGAGGCATTAAAATAACTATGGAGTTGCAGCTTATTATTATCAATATATCAGAATGTGTTATTACATTATTGAGATTTCTTGAGGAGGACCTTTAAAAGAGTATTTCTCTTCTAAGAAAAATTTCTCCTAAGAGTATCTTCTTTCTATGTGCTTCAACTGAAGCACATACAAAAAAAAATCTGACAATAGATTTACCTCTCTTTATAGGGAAAATAGAACAAATTTTGTTCTGTACTAGGATATATTTTTGATACCCAGGAATTTAACATTCATTATGAAAGGCCTTTTCTAAATATAATATTTTATCAGAGAGGGTTATCTTCACATCTTGCTTGCAAATCAAAGTAAGTCAGAGGTAGCTTAGGAATGCTTTAGAATTTAGTGTTTTATTTCAAATTAATTAATCCCTATTTCAAAGGGGTTAATAGTAAGTACAAAAGGCAAACAGTATATACAGCTGCCACTGTCTGCACCAGAAGAATAATTCCAAGAAGCTCAAAATAAGATTAGAACGGGGGAAAGCACAGTGCACTTTTTTGCATTTGCTTCAGTGCACCAGTTCAGGCTGGTTCTCTACAAAAGGAAGCACCCCACTAACATAGTAGGCTATTCCAAGCGACAGAAGAGCAATGACAATGATGAGGAGAAGCACTCTCCAGAAGCCCAGGTCTTCCACAAACTCTTGCCATGTTGTGCGGAAACTGGAAAGAACTCCTTCACCTTGCTGCAGGTTTGGATTAAGGAGGGAATGGCTTTCCATTGCACTATGAAGGATTAAAGTTAAAAATACATCAAAGCAAAAGAATGCACCTTTAAATATGACAGTAATCCTACTAAGGGCAACTGAAACAGTCTAAATTAAAAATTAAACCCACCTACAGATTTATAGCATTGCCTCTGCTAAATCAAGACAAAGCAGGCCAGGAAAACACTCTTAACTCTAAACTTAATTTAGTTGCATGGATGTTTTATTAACCTGTGCAAAGAGACTGATATCTGTATATGAAATACTGCCCTGAATTTGCAGGCTTGCCGCCTAGAAGCCTTCAAAAGTCAGTCCTCATAATTCCTACTAAATATGGCTTAGTAAAATACAATGAAGTATAAGCTAAAACCTCAAGGGGCTCAGCTCTTGTTAACAAAACAAATTATGACTAAAAATAAACTCTGATGAATAAAACGGAAACTTTAACCACTATTAATTTAGATGCAGAATTCTGTAGTGATCTTTACTACTCTCCTGCATGTCTTAGTTACAGAGGCCTCCTCTCTAGCATGAAAAAAAAAATCACATAAAACAATAAATTTGGATAACAAGAAGTTCAGAAACATTCTGAACAAGTTGGCATTGCTGTGTTTTCTGCCATATGGCTTTCAGCAACTGCCTTGATGTTTTAACATTGCACTAGCAATCCATCAGGCCCCCTTAAATTGTCAGATTATAAATTAGGGACTAAAACTTACACTTTTAAATGAGAAACAAATATAAAATGGGAACGAGGCACTCATCTTGACAATGAATCACCTTTAGAAAATATGTAAGTTGTCCCCAATACTGTGTGGCTTCTTGCATAATTCTGCCAATTTTGCTGGTTTCACAATTAGTTTATAACAGGAAACTTTCTCTGTTGCTGTCTGAAAAACCTCATGAAGAATAGCAAAACTTTCTCATTGCTTGATTGCACTTAAAATTTTGACCATCTGCACAGTCCTACCGCTTCTCACTTGAGTGAAATTACATACCACGGTGTTTACAGGATTGGGCTCTGACAAGCACGGAAAGGAAATGGTGGAATCAATTACTCAATGATGTCAATAGAAGAACGTAAGCAGAGAAAAAATATTTTTTTCCTTGGTTCTAACTGCTTTCAGTTACCATATTCCTAGATACATCTTATAGCACTAATAATAAAAAAAAAAATTCAGGGGAAAATAATTTCCAAGTCAAAACTAATTATAGAAATGCTGGTCTTCTTGGTGACAGTAATGAATTGACAAATGATCGTCATCAGAAAAAATCTCTCTTCTAAGATTACACCACGAGAAAACTTCACACTATTCATATGGTATTTTTTCTCAGGAAGTACAGCCACTGAAGAACAATTAGCCTAAACTCCCACAGCTTGCTGTAGTATTGCAGCATCATGTGCAGACTTCAGAAATTGCCTGTTAAACAGCTTGTATTTTTGTTTTTTAAATATTTACAATCCTGTAAGGCTATTTTTGCTTGCCCATAGCTGCAGGATTTAGTCATCGTCCTTGCTTATTATGATTTCCCAAGCAAAACAAGGGATTTAATAAAAGACAGCCATTGGTATAGAAGAGAACAGAACAACTTACTCATTAAGTACTAACTAGTTAATACATAACTACAGAGAGGTTAAATAAAGGTGCCATGCAATTTAAGTGAAAAGATCACATGCTTCTCATTAAAAGGAAAAGGGTGCATAGAAAACATTTTTTCTATTTTCTATTACGACCCAATTAAAATCTATGCTATTCAAGATATTTTTTCTTATGATGAATTGCAGCTGCGTAAGAACAGGTAATGCAGCAATGTGCCCCCAGAAGAGGTTGTGCCACACAGCCCAGACAGATGTTCTCTTCTTTTTCCAACAGGACGTGGAAGTTCACATTTGGATGCGCTTGTGGGCACAGCCACAGGTCCTGCTGGGCTGTGCAGATGGACAGACCGTCTGCGCTGCGAGACAGACGGAGCAAGCTCTGCCTCTTGACAGCACGGCGCTGCTCCCCTCTGGGGGCAGGGCAAAGCCAGTGAAAACACGTCTGACTCGGGAACAGAACTTTGGCCTCTGCTTCCAGAGCAGCAGCAACTGCTGCATGTAACAAGGAGCAGAAAACTAAAGTCAGAGATTGTTTTTAGAAAGAGCATTATTTCTCCACAGGTTCATACATAATGTAAAACATTTGGGGAACGGGCAGGACAGAAGACATTAGTCTAAACGTCTCTAAAATGTGAAAATAATATTAAGAGGGAGGAGTGAAACTGTGGAGGTCTGAAAAGCCAACTGTTACAAAGGCATTATTTATTTACAAAGCAAACAGCACACGAGCTCACTTGCTTTGGCTGCTGTAGGCATCTGCTATTTGTTATTTTTAAAATAATGTATTTCAGACATTTTAAACACATTCCCAAACAAGCTGGGTACTGCACTGTTTATGTCTCTGTGTCTCTCCCCAAGGAGAGTTGCTGACTTCCTTGCCAAAGCAAACAATATAACATTTATGAAGGTCAAATAACAGAAAGGAAGCTATGTTCATTAAAGGGACACTATCCAATCAAAAACTGGAATGGAAATGGGGCTGAGCTGTTGGTCCATATGTCTAAACAAAACCAGCATAAATGCATTTCTGTGGGATGAGCAACTTTCAATAAAATTTAGTGAAGTCAGAAAGGTATTATGCACAAATTCTTATAATTTATAACCATGTAATTTTGAGAATAAAATTAAATTTTCTATTTCAGGGCTTAAAACAGTCTCTCTGATAGGTGTGGTCACCTGATGTGTAAGAAAGAGCTTCAGATCTGTTCACTAGGAGTGTTTGGCATTATTTCTGTAATTTTGTTGGCTTCACCGTTTCTCTTTAGTCAGATAACTCCATCTGCACAGCTTCATTTTCATTTACAGTACAGGCTGTGTACATTTTGACATAAACTGATCAACAGTTACGTGACAACACTCCCTGTCTTTTGTGATATAATGTTTCAGTAGTCATAGTTCATGATCATTATTTGACAACATAAAAAAACCTCCAAATTTGAATAACTACAGTGTAAGAGCAAGTATTCCAAACAACATTGATAGCCAGTTTTCAATATGAATTAAAACTAAAACAGTATTGAAAAGATTTCTTGCATTATTAACCTCAGTTCCGTGTTCTGTCATGTTTATTGGCAATTCAATGATTTCTGCAAGAGAATTATCATCCTTTGAAACCTGCAAGGCTTCTTGCCTCATCCAAATCTACAAGAAGACTGTCTTGGAAGCTGATTGTAAAAAAACACTCCCAATTTTCAATCACAAAAGTATTTGTGGTTTATCTGTATCCTTTGGCTCTTATGCTATCATCATCTTTTGTCTTAAACAATTATTTTGTTCAAAACCAGTATTTCTTGTCAGCAACCACATACACCTCTCAGCTTTCACTCTGCCAAGCTAAAACAAGCTCTAGTTGCCTTCTTTCATAAGGAGATGCTCAGTTCCCTGAGTGCTTCAAGTAATGTCTCTCAATGCTTCTTGAAAGGATAAATTAAACTTTTCGAATGAGAGTAAACAGTCAGTGTTGCTTTAAACAACAGGACTGACAGTTTTCTTCATGTAGTGAAAATATCTCATTTTGTGCTCTGTAGGACTTCACTGCATTTTTCAGGGAAACATCAACTCCTGGAACTGACTGGTACATCAAGGCTTTTCTCCTATACCTTTGTTTTCTACTTTCCAACTTTTATTTCATGGCATCCAGCTTTTGGTAAAGTGCATTTTGTGCTACTGAATGACAATTTATTCCTGCTAAATTCCTCTCCCTTGTAACCCCAAGTTTTTGTCTGCGTCATCCCAATTTGGGTTGTCTGTATCTCACGTCTTGGTATCACTAACATGCTTCTACTTTTTTATTTAGGAAAATTCTAAGTAAACACAGTCCCAGAACCAGACCTTTAAGAATTCATTAGTAACTTCCCTCTAACAAAATAATTTCCCTGAAATGGCCAGCAATCTTCCTGAGCTCTTCAGTTCTCCATTAACTATCTCTTTAGCCACCATGACATTCTTATTCTCCATCTTCTCCAGGACTACTGCTGATAAAAATTTCATATATGGCACTACATAAAATACTTTATTCAAATTCAGATAGATGAAAAGTCTGCTACCCCTTCTTTGCAGACATTCCCTCTTATGAAAAGTATGTCAGGTTAGCCTGTGATATTGGCATTTTGCATTTCATGCTATTTTCTCTTTGGCTTTGTGAATATTTATTTTTGAGACTCTGTAATGGAAAATGAGTAATTATTTTTTAAAATTTCTACCATAAAATTAAAATCCCAATAGAAGAAGTTCTTTTTTTCCTTACACTTGATCTGTTTAAATAGATTTTTCCAAAATTTAACATTTGATTTTGATTTGGTCTGATAATATCAGGCCAAACTTCATATTATCTGTTTTGAGGAATAAACAATCAAGTCAATCACAAAAGTCTAAAATCCATAAATGCAATTTCTCCTAGTAATTATTTTTGTTTGGTAAATACCTTTCACTTTCAGCAGTCTGCATTGTTTCCAGCTTTGAATGAGCTCCTCTGTTAAATCCTTTCACCTCTTGTTCCTCTAGGGATTCCAGCAGTCTAATCACATCTTTATTCACACCCCTTCGTTTGGCAAGAACAAGTGGTGTTGCACCTTGATGGTTGCTAAAACAACCCCACAAAAAGACATAAAGAAAGAAAATTTTAATATAGAAATTTTGTAACAAGTCAACTCAGCATAACATATTACAATTTAGTAACTATTGGAACTATTTCAGTAGTATAGTAGAATAGAATAGTAACTATTTAGAACTATTTTCTGTTGTATCAGACAGCACAAGAATCCTCTCTATACAAGTTACAGCATAATCTGCTATAGAAGAAAATCAGTATATTCAGGTTTGAAATTGTACAACTCTTTTCTCCCTCTAGGTAAAATCAAAATTCGTTGGACTCTAATTGGAATCTCTGGGTGTTATAGCAAAAAATAAACAGTAGATTTACAGCAATGTTCAAGTTCAAGCCTAATTTCAAGAAAGAATTGTGCAATCTGGCTCCTCAGTTCCTTTTCCATTAGGGTATTAGGACATCAGGCAAAAATGAAATAAAATACAGATGGTCCCTCTGCTGCTATTAAAATAATACTGAATAGGACCAGAGCTGCCTTTAGACCAGGAATTTCCACCAGAGTCGTTTGAAATAAAGGGAAAAAACCCAACCCACAACCCATAAATAATCTGGTCTACCAATAACTAGTTTTGCTGAGTTGAAAACATTAATGAGGTACAGGTGGAAAAGGGACAGATTAAAAAAACTCAAAGGTTTTTTCACATTACTCCTGGTTTTTGCACACGTGAATATGCAGAAAGTTCCACAAACAAAGTAATTCAGTACAGGAATGAAACAGCTAGTTATTTTGCAGCTTGAGAGCTTACATCTGAGTACTGGCATCTGACAGCTGCTGGGAGCCAGAAGGAAAGAATATACAATATTTGAAAGAAGGACTGAGTCATAGACTTTGAGGGAGGGCGAAAACACTGAAAGGAAGCATTGTTACCAGAGGAGTATGGGAATGAACTGACACACATATACTGTATTTTCTTTGTCTTATCCAGTACAACAATAGAACTGTAGTGGAGAAAATTCTTTTAGAGTGGTCAATGTGATTTTTTCCATTGGTGCCAACCACCCACACCTGGCTGTCTGGCCAAACTAAGGCAGCAATCCATCAATGGGGCAAGATTAGACATAGCAGTCCACACCAGTAGCTGATGGTTATTTGCTTTGCCTGTTCCACAGACTAGCAAAAGTGCCCTCATTGTTTTCCTGTCTTCTTAGTTTGTGTTTTTATTAAGTGGTATCTTTAAAAAGTGGAATTGCACCAAATACAGCATTTCAGCAACAGCAAATTTATATGCAAGGCTGTGGTGACAGAAGAGTAATATATTATAAATATATGTGCTGTAAAAAATTACTTACCAAATATCAATTTTAAGTCCATTAGAAACTAGGAACTGGATGGTATCGACATGCCCACACAGGTGAAGAGCTGTGTTACCTTGGTAATCAGTGGCTAGTAGGTCAGCACCAAATTTGTGCAAGAGCTGACAGATGTCTACATTTCCTCTGGCTGCAGCAAGGTGAAGGCCAGTTCGGCCTCGGCTGTCACGAATATTTGGGTCGAAACCGCTCTCTAGCAGTCGTTTGGAATAGTTAAAGTCTCCATCAATACAAGCCTGCAGCAGTGGCACATTTGTCTGGGAGGAGTCATTTACAAAAACGTAGGACATCGTTCGGAATCTCTCCAGAGGAGATGACCAACCTGCAAGTTTAAGCAGGAAGAAATGATGGTGAAACCAAGCAAATAAACACAATGCAAATATTCAGGTTCCAAAACAAGAATGCAAACTAGCTTACAAGCCAACTCTGAAATCTTCCTGTCATACACACTAACTTTGTGTGCTGCATTCCCTTCTAGTAATAGGGAAAAAGCCCCATTTAGTCTTACTCACACCTCTGGAAACAGCAGCAAAGCTTTTGTTATTATAGAAAACTGGTAAGATCACTGTCACAAATGCAAGACAGGTGATTAGCATTCACCTACTAAGGAATCACATGTTGTGGTATTGATATTAAAGTGCAAAACACTGCAGATCAGGACAGAAAGGAAGAAAGAACCTGTCACAAATGGGGAAACTATAAACAATTCAGTTCACGTGTACAGTGATGCTAACTGCAATTTTTACCAGCTTATAAGCAAAACTACTCCAGTGGGATTTTTACCATCTGAATTTGAACTTCAATACACAAAGTACAGTCAGTTGCTAAAAATGCTAGATTAATGTAAACACTAATTCCTTCATTCTGCAAGAAATACATTTTTCCATACTCTTTGCAGAACATTATTTTTACAGTGCCACAGATATACAAACTACTGAACAAACAAGAACAGCAATACAGACCACAAAAAACTGAATGCACTAGGTGAAACTGCCCACCTGAAAGTGAAAACTGGAAGTGGGTACAAGGAAGACAATGGTAAAATTAAGTACAGAGCTGCTGTGGATTTGACTAGAATCTCAATATGGAAAAGCACAATTGAAGTTTCTCTGGCTTAATATTAAACAAAGGATTAAGTCCTTTTCTGTACCAGGACCTAAAAGAGGAAAATAAATGTTTCACCGTAGATTACTTGATATAGAATATTTCATGAACTATGATTTAAGTTTTGCAGAAGAATATTCATGGATGAGTTAAATAATGAGGGTATGATGACACTATGTGCTTATCGGATACAGAAAAGATTACTTGAAAACAGTAAGGAAAAAAGAGAATGAGCAAGAGAATGGTAAAATGTGTATGAGGCAATGCTAAGAAGCAATGATAACATCTAGGAGACTGGACAACAGCCCTCTCTTTGCACTGCCTCGGAGAAGAGGTAGAAAAGAAAAAATAATATAAACCAGTACAATTCCTTACAAGAAATCTTAATAAAGACATGACACAATTCAAGTGACAGGAGGGAAAAGTAATTTTACTAGATAAGCTTTGAACATAAAGTAAACCGAAACCTCATTTGAAACAGTATTTTTCACTTGCCCAGGGTTTCTATTTTGGGCTCATGGTGTAACAGGGTTCTAATTAATATCTGAACCTCTTATTAAAACTGCTATAGCCAGACTTAAATTTTCTCATCTATATAAGGTATCCTTCTACACTAGTGCATCCATTCAGCCAGGAGAATGGAAACATGGCCAGTAGCCAAAGAACTCAATTTAAAATGTCTCCTTTTTTGAGAGTTCATAATGTCTATATTTTATAGCTCTTCCCCCATGTTTTAGATCAAATTCAAGATCAAAGTACCTACATAAGTAATTCCAAAATGTTTATGCACTGGTCTGATTAAGAGCTGTACCACTTGGGGCTGTTGAGGTTAATAAATCATTCTTAAACTTCACTGGTTTGTATTTCCTATCTGGACAAATTCTGCTACATGTATCAACACTGTTTCCCAGTGCAGGAATGCACAACTTTTTTTTTTTCTTTCTTGGACACTGAAGAGAAAGAGATAGGAATAAATTCTATGTCCTGGTATCTGTATAAGGAATGATTTTAAGCAGAGTACATTCCCCTACACTGCAAGTATGTTTTTAAGCACATGATGGTAAATCATTGGGTCAAGAACCCTTTTCCATAACCATTTCCAATAGCAAAAGGCCAGTTCACTGATACACAGTAAAACTTTGTGCAAGACTGGTGTCATTTAGGGCACTAACAGCTTCCTTATGACTCAATATAACAAGAAAGGACAATGCAGTTACTTGCATTTCAATGAATATGTCACACTCCCTTGGATGTTGCAAAGCTAGGATTCCCAGCTGACAGCAATTTCAATTTTCTTGCCCATTTCCCACCCAAATCATAAATATGAGAATCCTTCTTCCACTCTGCTACTCCAATCTTCGCTGACAAAAATAGTGGGACCACTTTCTGTACGATGTGATTGTGACCTCTGCACTAAATCTTCCCTAAAGCAAGATCATAAATCATTTTAAAACCTCCAATTATCAGCCACAGTAACAGCATATCAGCAGCACAAACCCCTGCTTGCACTTGACAAAAAGATTGTGATTTGCTTGTAAAATAATACTTGAGTGTTTAAACCTGTTTAATAAAACAAGGCCTAACATAAATCAACATAAGAATATTATACTGTAAGAGACTCAGGCTATTTGAGAAATGGCATGGCATGCTCTGTTATATGTAAGCTAATGTTTAAATTTTCATACCAGACGTGTATGTCCGGTAAAGCCTTACAGAATTCCCCAACTGTGACAAAACATTAGCTAATAATACCAGGGAAAAAGTCACCTCCTTATCTTCTCAGAAAAGGAAGCCCAAAGATTAGCAGTTAACAGAATGTGTAACTGGAAGTAATTCTGATTTAGAATTTATTATCACTAGAATCTTCTAGAATCAATCACTGATGTGTGGAAGACTAAAGTAAAACCTTAGTATTTCACAGTAAGAAAGACAAAAAATCCCAGCAAATCCAAATCTTTCTTCCCAACACTTGAAGATTGTGGACTAAGCACGCATTCACCAGAAAAGAAAAAAAAGGTGGAGGGGAAAATAAGACAATCTGGATCATCTGGTTTGATTTAGCTTTGTGATTAAAAAGATTTTTTTCTACAAACACAATTCTGTTTCACATACGGCTACCTAACCTACGCCAGATATAAGCTGCATACAAAGCTGAACTACGCAGCATCTTTAAAATGTCAGCCCCCAAATGACATGTTCTTGCCTCAAATTTAACCCAACTTAGTAAAATTTCCTGTCTAATAAAACTCTTAAAAAAATTGCGATAGTCAGCTTCATAAGATATTTTTGAATAAACAAGAGGTGGTTACATTTCTGACCACATTATGTATCGAAAAGCTTACTGCTTCAATAAGTATCTAACGCTGCAGATTGAGAAACAAAATTTAGAAACACAGTGGCATTAGCCATTCTCTTTAAATCGCTTTTGAAAGTGAATCAGTTAACAACTCTGAACCTGTCTCAAAGCTGGTACCACCTACCATTAAGCACTGATTTTACAGGCACAAATTAGGATAAATGGACTTCTATTAGTAACAAGACAAAAAATATTGCAAAATGAGCATTCTGAACATCTCTAAAAACTAGTACTACTAAGAGTTAAATAAATCTAGTTTCTAAAGACTGAAATAAATTACTGCTTCTAAAAATGCACCACTGTCTGAAAATGTATCTGTTAAATAATAATTTTGTTTTTTAAAAAAAGTTTTGTTTTTAATAACTTGGTACTTTGATAGAAAATTATTTTGTGAAAAAAAAAAGTAAATTCAAATACATTCTCACAAGCTAGAAAGATTCCCATCAGAAAGGCATACTATGAGAATACATTTTCCCTAGATTTATACAACATTTATATGGCCTCAACACAATGTACTTTTTAAGTAATAATTTTAGAAATTATGCTGTAAGCCACTTCTTCGATGACACATTTTGGGCTAGTACAGGATAAGAAAACTTAACCAAACTGGTTTGTTTTCAAAAGGAATGCTTATATTAAGTGATTCTGTAAGAATAATTGACTTTTATTTACTAGGAGTCAATTGTCTCTCACTAAGCTGTGTACAATGGTAATTCACTGTCACACAGTGATCTGTTGTAGGACACATTCACGCCTGCTAAATGCAAATTCTGTCACTTCTTAAACTAGGCTGTAATTTGTACTAACCATGGACAGTTTTATTTTACAGTAAATACATGCTGCTGTCTCTGCCTTCTCATTAAGTTCAACAGCTACCAAACAGCTCCAGAAACAGGAGAGAACAGCTTGACTGTGAGACAGAATCACTAATGGGACCCATCCCTCCACTACAAAAACATTAATAAACCTGCCAAGTTGTGATTAATCACCCAGTCACTGCTACGTAGCATATACCAGTTCTGCAAAACTACAGTATTTTCCAGAACATTCAGAGAAACTGAAGTAATTGTCCCTATTTCAAAACAACACGTCAGGACAACAGGACAATACCAGATTGCTCAATCCTTGAGACTTCTCAATGTTAATACACACTTTAACATGTAGAACCTAAGCATCAGTAAGACTATCACTACAGAAGTTGCCACCACCAAAAATGGAAACTAAACCAAAACCAGTAAAAAGTACCATCTCCCACCCTGTGCCACCAAAAAAACCCAATGTGTTACTTGCAACATTTGCATTTGTCATCTCCCTGGTGGCAGACAGCTTCCTCTTTCTGTAATGAACTTGGAGAGCACTTCAGTGGCCTGCAGAGCTCTTCCTTTTCAGTATTTCAATGAATGAAAAACATTCCAATACTGCTGTTTTCATGCACACATGTATTTACGTGTAAGTCACTGAGAAGTCATTTAACTGAATAAATGTTAGATTTAGTAAAAAATTATGTGATTAGCTCATTTCTGTTTAAGAAAGAACCCCATTACCTAAATCAAGTTCCACTGAGATTTCTGTATCTTCTGTGGGAAACCTTTATCTATTCAGTCCAATTGGAACAAAGTTTTATGACTCCACTAATATGGATCTGCTGCTAAAAGCAGGAGCTCAGATTCAATACAGCATGATGTCTGCTTTACACACATCCATGTTTTGCAGCATTTTCCCTTTCTAACTTCAGGATTTTTTTCCAACAGTTCCTGGATTTAAGGATCACAGCAGGCTTGTAACACCCACATCCCCTCTCATGTCTCTAGTCAGACACATGGGTATGTGGTAATAGAAGAACATTTTTTATGTCAATTGTCTTTTGAATCATTCCCATTCCCTTATACAGACATGAGACATACAGGTATATTCTCTTGATTGCCAGGGACATCCTGTAAGTAGAAACTTTGGTGCAGTGCATATACAAAGGGCTTTACACATATGGTCTACAAAGTGCTTTATGAAAAGGTTTCAACAACTATTGCTGCTCTTTTATGGATCAGCAAACAATAGCATTGGGAAATAGGGATCTTTGCTCATCATTGTACAGTATGTCAACAGTACAAGATAAAAAATATACAAGATTTCAAATGCCAATCCAGAGTTGCAGAATGCTTTCCCAGATAAACAGTACAAGCTTTGTGTATTTATGTACACAAAATACGGGAACAATAGGAAAGAAATTATCTTTTAAAACACTTTTATCAACAAGCAGATTCCAAATATTTTATCCTTGCTTATCCTATACTTAACTGGTAATTCAGTTGCATTACATCTTCCAGTGCACTTAACTTCTATCAAATATATAGCTCAGTATTTTTTAACATTCCTCATTTTTCATCTTCTGCACAAGAACTATTTAAGAAGAAAGGTAATTTACAGATTTCTTCAAATCATCTGTAACTTAAATTCTCCACAACTGGCTCAGGTAAATCAGTAAATAACTGCAGTACTTCTCTGATCATTGTGCTCAGCTTGAATACATCTGTTTTTATAGAAAGTTATTGAATCACATTGGTCATAATTACCAACCTTTTCACAAACCTTCATTCAAATTCCTTGTCTGTGTCTGCTGGAAACATGTGGGGTATATGTTGATCAAGAAAATATTACAGGTCTTTGAATATTGTTTTGTTATTGGTTTATTTGTTTGGGTTTTAACAGACTAGAGAGAATTTGTTCCACTCCTAATTAAGTGTTTGTGTTTAAATTGGCTGCAGAGTCGAAGCAGTCCTCTGGAAAAGAAGACAACAGTAACTGAGCAACAAAGGATCGCTCCCTCCTGGCGGTGCTCACAGGCTGCCGAGGGAGGTACAGCACTCCTGTCTGGATGGACACTGCCACCACGTGGACTGACACATTTCTGTCCCACTGGAGTGAATCATTGAATCATAAAATGGTTTGACTTGCAAGGGACCTTAAAGGTCACCTGGTCCAACACCCCTGCCACGGGCAGGGACACCTTCCACCAGACCAGGTTGCTCAAAGTCCCACCCAACCTGGCCTTGCCTTGAACACTGCCAGGGATGGGACATCCACTGATTTTCTGGGCTACTTGTTCCAGTTTTTCACCACCCTCACAGGAAAGAATTTAATCCTTATGTCCATCTAAACCTGCTCTCTTTCAGTTTAAAGCCATTGCCCCTTGTCTCATGCCCTTGTAAAATGCCCCTCTCCAGCCTTCACACAGGCTCCCTTTAGGTACCGGTGTGGTGCATAGGCCTGGAGGCACACGGAGCACCTTTTCTACATTTGTGGTGTTTTCTAGTTTCCTGAGAAGGAAATGATGAAAAGCATGAAAATAAGATTTTATAAAATTTTATTAAAAAGCATTCTGCAATCCAAAGTGCTATTCCCAATCTCATTCAAGCTCCAGTTCTGTATTAGTGAAATGAGGACTTTGGTATATGAGTTCTGAAGACAAAGGTATTTAATTTTAAAAACTATGCATTTATGCCTGTTCTTAAAAAACATCCAAAACTAAATCCAAAACACCTGTCCCCCTACCCACACACAAAAGGCCCAGTCCTTACCTAGGGAAATAGTAAGTCTGAGATGACAAGCCTATTAACATGGGAAAAACTTTCTGTGTCCAGCTGGAATCATCAGAAGTCAGAACTTAATAAGAGCAATAAAGTAAATTAAGAACCTGTCACCAAATGACTTATTACTATACAGTTTGTACTGTCTTAATATTTTTCTTACAATGTGTATAATTGCTTATATGCTCTTGGTCATATATAACCTTGATGACACAGCCTTGGTGTGCAACATCAAATCCAGCTTAGTGGCTAGTGAACGGAAGCAGGTCACTTTAAAAAGCAGTTGTCTCCTAAATTTATAGATAGCTGTATGTTGACTTTACCTTTAAAACAATATATTGTTTATTAAACAACTTATTTATTTGTTTATTATTTATTTGTTATTGTTTATTAAAATGCATTGATTTATATCAACAAATAATACCAATGACAAGACAATTAATGCTGTCAGATACGCAACTCTTACTATGACTGCTGCTACAGATATTTCTGCTCAGAATTTTCATGTTCACACAGTAAGTCATTAAACCAGTTAGTCAAAGACAAATAGTTAGCTGATATATTTGCTGTTTCAAATAATCTTTCTAAATCTTTATCAACACTTAACCGTATCATACTGGATCATGTTATGTGACATAGCAAGATGAAATGGTAATATTTTTAAGGTTGTATTTCTAATTAATATACACATATTGATGCTATTTTTGCATATGCTTCATATTTCACCATGCTTAGGCTCAAAAATTTCTCCAGGTAGGCAAATCTGTAGTAATAGTGTCTGCCCAACACAGTACCTTAATGGACCGAAGGGGCCAGCAGCCTATGGGTTTCCAGGACAACAGGCAAGTCTGAGGAGAATCAGGGAGGCCACCCTCAAGCTCCTGGTCTGCAGAGAGGCTGGAACTGACCAAAAATGTAACGGAAGATGATGGAAAAGAACCTGAGAGCAAAGTAGCTCAACTGATGTTTACCAGTTGCATCAATGGATCCTACTGAGCCTGGAAACAAAAGAGACATCACTTGTACAGGGAAAACTTCCACCTTCAGATAACTTAGCAAAAGCCACTAACTTATCTATAAAAGACTCAATATTCAACATGAAACCTATTGCGGATACCAACAGAAAAGAAACTGCAAGGATTAAACAGGAAACCTTGGGCCACAGGGGCTGGGGAAAAACCCACCATCTAAAAGACCAGACAAGATCCATTGACCTGCCTCCCCCAGCAGGATGTAGAGAGACTTTGCGTAATGCTATCAGATATCCCATTGTTTTCTCCCTCCCTGACCACCCTTCCCCAGTATCATCTTGCTTACTGGAAATATCAAATCCTTTTTCTCCCAAATATAAATACTGGATCTGAGAAATGTAAATCCCTTTTTTCCCCATATGTCATTCCTGCTACTGGAAATGCTAACAGACTGTGGAATCCCCTATGTGGCATAACCTTCCCTCCTTATTAGCATGTTAAGCCCCTGAGACCCTTAAATAGTGGTTCGTGTTTTCAGTAAAGGTATTCCAGTTTTTACCCCCATATATGGGATCGTGTTAGCTTTATTGGACCGTTACAGAAACCCCATATCTAGTCAATAAATAGAAATACTCATGTTTCTTTAAAAAGGTTTTACAAGTTCTGTTTGAGAAAGGATGAAGAGAAATTGTGAAATTGTGCAAAAGAAAAGTCCATGTCAATTATTACTCCTGTGAATAGGAAGCTAACATAAAAGTAGCCACAGCAGATCACAGCAAAGGTCCATTTGAGCCTAATATAATTTTTCAAATGGTGGCCAAAAGCAAAGGCCAGGAAAACACATAGAATAGAGCAAGCATATATAATACTGCTTTTTCTATTCAAAATGGGTAAGGTTTCTATGTATTTGACTCCCTCTCCACCTCTGAATCTGCCCTTTCTCCTCATCAACATAAATACTTCTAATATCCACAACATACTCTGGTAAGTTCTCCAACTCAGTTACCTGTGAAAAACAACAGCTTTTGATCTTTCTGAATCAGGGCCTTGTTAGCTTCACCTGTGGACCATCAGATCTCCTGCAGGAAAAAGGGACAGTGGACCCCTACCCATTCTTTTCACGCCACTCATGATTCTACAGGCCTTCACCTTATCCTCCTCAGACATCCCTTTCTAGGATGAATTTTCAAGTCCCAGATTCTTTGGTCATTCCTCATTTGGAATGGTCTATGACCATTCTTGCTTTGATTCTCTGAATATCACTCATTTCTACTACATGTTGTCTGAGCTGCGAGTCAGACCAGGGATGACTCGACCAGAGTGTTTGAGGTGAACCATGGAGTAACCCAGTGGCATGACAAGATTCCTTGGTTTGTTCTTTACTTGTTTCTCAATAGTATTCACTATCTGGTTTACCTTTTTCACTGCTGCTTAGTGCTGCTGCTACATTTTCATGGAACCATTCATCATAACTACAAAATACTGCTCATTATTGAGAGCTCAGTATTTCATATAGGAAGTTAGGATTCTTTTTATGCTATCTGAATCACTCTACCTGCACTGAAGTCATGTGCCATTATGTTATATTACCCAGCTACTCAGTCTTACAGGGTCCTTCTGCACCTTTTCATAGCTGACCCATGTCATTGGCAAATACTATCACCTTGTTGCTCACTGCCTTTTCTAGGCTGTTCATGGAAATTCTAATAGTTCAGAATCCAGAACTGAACCCCACAGAACTAAAATTATTCCAAGAAAAAGATTGAACATAAGTTCACTAAAACTGTTGTCCTGGATCAGATCGATCCCTCTTGCTCAGCACTTTGCTTTCAACAGTGGCCATCAGAGATCCTTTGGGAGAGCACATGAGCCTGTCTGCTTCCTGCAGTTCATTCCCCAAACACACCCCAGCAGCCACCACAGCCCCTCAACAGTCTCATTGTCCACCTAATCCCTTCCCGAGCCTGCCCACATTCCACCTCCACAGCCACCCATGTCATCTTTCCCTATATCCATCTGAAACCATCCTCCCACCTGCCCCAGCAAGCAACTCCGATTCCAGGGCTGCAAGACTGGATGAATAATTCTCACTTTATCCATTGCCTTCATTTCATAAGTCTTGGTCATGCCCCAGACATCTCCTCTGTGAACAATACTGACTTTACAGTCTCTCCTCTTAAGGAAGCTGATCTCCTTGTCCCTTTCAGTTGCCTTTCTCTAACTCGCTGTATCCTTCTTCCGATGCAGAGACCAGAACCATGCACACTATCCCAGATGTCGGTGCACCAAGCTGGAGCAGCAAAATGGTGTCATCTGTCTTCTTCTCACTACCTCTCTGAGGACAGTCACTATTTTCCTGGCTCTTTGGCTGCCATGGCACACTGAGCTTAGGTTTCCAGGGAACACTCAGTGGTGACTCCAAGTGCTTTCTCTTGAGTGGTGGCTGTCAGTTCTGAGTTCAGCACCATGTGAGCACAGTTTAGATTATTCTACCCAAGATACCATCCTACTTTGTGCACACTGAAGCTCATTGTGCCACCTTTCTGCCCCCTTCCCTTTTTTGGAAATTTCTTTTTGTCTTCTTTTTAACTTTTCAATCCAACTATTTCTGCAACTAAGAAATCTCCTAGGTGCTATAGTAAGTAAGTAAGTAATGGCCAGTCTTCGCGAGCGAAGATTTGGGAAAGGTCATTAACCCTTCGAGCCTGCGCAGTGGATTTTTTAGGTGAGACACAGCGTGCGCTGAACTGAGCCCACCCTTTAATCCTGAGGTTCATCTGCCGGGGCCGAGCACGCTTGGACAGTGGCAGTGAGGTCCCCAGGACGTAGGTTTGTTTAGGGTGACCTTCTCTTAGATGGATTGCCTTACAGGGCTGACAAGCCTCCATCTGCCCGGGGGGCTGGGAATCGAACCCGGGTCGCAGCGGTGAGAGTCCTGCACCCTAACCACTAGACCACCAGAGGCCCCCCTAGGTGCTATAAGCACCTCCTCAAAAGCCTTTGGTAGAGTACTTTTTTCTGATGCTTCCTGAAAATCCACATCAGCTGTATCTACAATCCTGTGCAGCAATCCTCTGAAGATGTACTCAAACTCAGGCAGAACCAGTCCCTAACATACTAACACACAGCACAGACAGGCAAACACTTCTCTGAACAAAAAAAGTTGAGATGAAGAAGACAGAGAAGCATTCTACACAATCCATGGGAAACCCATACACCAGAGGCCTTCCCTGAAATGTGCTGCTGCCCTTTTTCTGCTACCATCCATTATTGCTGGTCAGACACCAATAGGAGATCTTGAGCACAATGAAGAATATAACCCCATCAACAAACGTTGCAGGGTTTATGTCTTTGACTTTATGTCATAAAAGTCAGCTGATGTAGCTGCACTACTTGGATGTGAGAAATCTGCTGAGTGACAAAACTGGTGTTTAAGCAGCTCTGTTCCACTCAGCCAATTGAAATTTTACTGAGGAGTAAAAGAAAGACATGACACTTGGAAAAGTGGTGTTGACACATGAATCAAAGCCAGAAGCTAAGTTCTGTAACAGATATGGCTTCAGTGAGGTGCTTAGCAAGGTAAAACTTCTTTCTACATATTTATTAAGTATCACTTTAAATAGCAAAGCAAACCTCAACAAAACGGACCATTTCAGTATTTGTGCTCTTGACTTAGATGAAGACAGAATCACAATAAATACTGACAATTGAACTTTAGTGGAACAAGCCCATGCACCCAAGACATGCCTGTTGTCTACTCCAACAGCATTCTGTGGATGGTCTCTTCAGAAAGCTGAATGCATCGGGAACCATGTATTTCACGTAACGTGTATAAACCAATGCCTTCTACAATATTTTATCTGCTTATTAATTGACCTACCTGGAAGCAGAACATCCACAGCTGCGATCATGTGGGAGGCAATCAACTGACAGACTGCTCAAAAGACAAGAGCATCAAGAGCCCCAAAATACCCATATCCAGCACACCCAAATCCCTAGAATAGTCACTAGTAGTTGACTCCTTGGATGAGCAGGTATCTCGGGTCCTGGGCTGCAGATGAGGACTTCAAGGCCACACATGTTCTGACATTAAGTACACGAGAATATGAGGTGGGATAATACAGTCAACTTAAAGCACTGCTTCAAATCCCTGGCTCTTCCAGATGAGACAACTCTAACTAAAGGATATAAATCTGCTGAGAGGAAATCTGTCACTGATTACAGATCAGAACAGATTTTTATAGTGCCCTCTTGCAGAGGCAAACTCACATTGCTCTGGTAAGAAGACAGATGTACATACTACACTTCACCCCTCAGCTTACTCTTCACATCTTCTCTTCAACTCAAAAAGAGAGCAATTAGGCAGCATAATTTTCTGACTGTCACCAACCCTACTATTTAGACTGGAAACACTACTAAAAATATTTTTCTTCTAAAAAACATATTTAACAAGTTCTTGCTAATAATCTATTTCACAAATGAACAAAAAAGGAAAACTGATCTATAGTCTACAGGTAACATTAAGCTTAGAACTCTGCTGCAGCAAACAAAATCATTATTTGAATATATCAGTCACATTCTATCTAAAAAGTGTTGGGCTTTCGCTCTTCCTTGACCTTTTGGAAGGCTGCTCTTGAACATCAGTGCTTTCTGATAGTTAGAAATTTTCATATGTTATTAATCTTAAAATCTGTGTTAAATTATTCATGTATCAACATAATTCTTTAGCTCAATTTATTCCCTTCTCAGTGTTTACCTTGATGGGTTTGACAGAGAGCAAAAAAGGCCTTTATTCGACAAAATTAAAAAAGCCAAATGCTTCTTCCAACAGACTCTTAATTTCCCTACCTGTCCAAGGCACATCTTCCTGCACCTGTTCCACTTTACTTTTTTACCTGAGAATGATTAACATTATACAAAGTATTCTAGAGTTCTGTTCAAGGGCAATAATTACTTCTTTTATTGGATCACTGTAGTCAGCATCTACTTTTTCCACATTGCATATCTTGTAACTACCTAACACATACTTCGGTTTTGTGTTGCTTTCAACCGTAAGAATTTCTTCTGTATATTGTTTCCTTACAAGGTTACAACTATAAACCCTCGTTCTTTAAATTGCTACAGTACTTATTTCATATTCTAGTTCTCAGGATCACCCCATTCTTTCCGTGTAGTCCCATAACTCTCTTCTATATTGCCAGTGCTTCCCAATTCTTCATCACTGCCAAATGAAGACAGTAAAGTTTTAATTGCTACCTCCAGATCTCTATGAAATATTTAATAAGATTGGTCTCAAGACAGATCTTCAAAGAACTAATTTTATACTCTTTGATACTCAGATTTGATGGATTTTCCATTCAACATTACTCACCGTAGTTTGTCTCCAGTTACTTCCCTATCCTCTTTACAACTCGGGTGTGTTAGCCCTACCTCTTCAGCACAGTAACAATGTGCAATGGCCTTAGTGTCGTCTAGAAAAAACCGGGAACTACTCCATTTCCCTTAAAAACAGTAATTGCTTTATCAAAGACAGTTTTGAGGACAGGCTGAAATACGTATTTTAGTTTCACTTACCTTCGTTGTTTTCACGTAGAAAGCGCGTTCCAAAGCCGCACACTTACCAACGTCCTGTCAGGAGGGCGGACGCGTTCCCCTGCCCGTTCCCCTCCCTTCCCGTTCTGAAGGCTGGCACTGCTCCCGCTGTTCTCCCACCAAACCTCTTCCCACCAAACCGCATCAGCGCGCTCCACCTCCACGGCTCCCGGGCCGGGCACTGCCCAGGGCCCGTCCCCGAGTCCCCACCCGGGCCTGGCACACCTCTGGGTTAGGCGAAATCGCCCTGCCCTGCTCTCCCAGCCCCCCGGCCCTGCCGTCCCGGCCCGTCCCGGCCCCGCTCCCGCCGTACCTGCCCGGGCTCTCTGGGCGCTTGGGGCCGGAACGGGCGGGCGGACGGGCCGGGGGGCGGAACGGGCGCCCCCTCCTGGGCGGAGGCCGCCGCCGCCGGGCGGGCCCCGCACCGTCCGTCCTTCACAGCGCAGCTCGGCCGAGCCAGGGGAGCGGTGTTGGCCCGCTGGGAGGCAGGGAATCAGAAACAGTGCGGCCAGCAGCACCAGGACAGTGATCATCCTCATGTACTCGGCACCGGCGAGGCCGCACCTCGAGTCCCGTGTCCAGTTCTGGGCCCCTCACTGCAGGAAGGACACTGAGGCGCCGGAGTGGATCCAGAGAAGGGCAAGGGAGCTGGTAAAGGGTCTGGAGCACTAGTCTTCTGAGGAGCGGCTGAGGGAGCTGGGGGTGTTCAGCCTGGAGAGGAGGAGGCTCAGGGGTGACCTTATTGCTCTCTACAACTCCCTGAAAGGAGGTCGTAGATGAGTATCGGCATCTTCTCCCAGATAACACGCAACAGCATCAGAGGACGTGACTTCACTCTGTGCCAGGGGAGGTATAGGTTGGACATTAGGGGGAATTTCTTAACAGAACCGGTGATTAGACATTGGAATGAGCTGCCCAGGGAAATGATGGAGTTACTGTCCCTGAAGGTGTTTAAGGAAAGACTGGACGTGGCACTTTGTGCTATAGTTTATTTGTCATGGTGGTGTTCGATCACAGGTTGGACTCAATCTCAGAGGTCTTTTCCAACCTAATTGACTCTGTAATTTTGATGCTTCTGTGTATGCTATCCCCATAACACCACAAAAATCAGCAAGATAAAAATTCAGGTAAAAGTACAGTTCCTCTGCCCCCACATCATTTCAGCACTTATACTCCGTGAGTATAAGTAAAAATGGGGGGGAGGGGTTTGAAGTTATTTGACTTCCCTGCCCCTGTTCTCACACATGATCCTGCCTTTCATAACGAGGACAGTAAGAGGAATCAAAGATCCTTAAAGCCTGGTCTGGAGTGTCATGATTTAGGCACTTTAGTCTTCTTAGGCACTTTAGTCTTCTTGCAGTAGCAAGCAGGTTACTGCTGTGGTTAATGGTGTGCCTGCCTTTAGCCACCACGTTGGGTATCTGCTTGCCCAGGGCCATCAGTATGAATCAGCTCACTTTCTGTTGCAGTTACTTACATGCTATCCTCACTGCTGTGACAGAGAACATGTTCACACCTTTATTCTCTCAATAAGGGCACCACAACAGTCTGTTCAGTTTGGAAGGATCAGAGGAAATGCATGCCTTTCCCAGACGATGCCTAGGTGGAAATAGCCTGCTCAGTCACCACGCTAATTACACAGTTACAGAAACATTATAAACTGATATGTTTATAGTATATCCTACATATTATAACTTTTCCCTCTGCTAAAATCATAGCACCTTTTCTAGATAGCCCTCCCCTTTCTACCCCAACAGTGTCTGGGGGAAAAAATCCAAAAAACCATGTATGCAAGACACCTCCAGATTCTCAGCACCCATTCAAACTGGCTCACTAGAGTTGTAAGTACTCTAAAGAGCAGTGCACAGGTGAGGAATTACACTGAAGGTTTTTGGGGGGGGGTTGCCTTTTAATTCAATTCTTCAGCAATGGGTTTATTATTTCCAGACAACTCATTTTGAAAGACAGTATCTAAAATAAATTATCACAGGTCTTCTTCTCTTATTTTCCCAAATACACAGTCTCCTTCATTTGGCCTAACTAAAAATCTTTTCCTTGATATAAAACCCGAATGAACTACCTACAGTGAAACAAATAAACAGTTGGAAGAGCATATGCATGTCAATAATTATGGGTAGATACAAACATAAGCTAGAAAATCTCACTGTTCAAGTGATCTCTGAGATATTTCAGGTTGATCTCTTTGAGATATTTCAGAGACAACTAACCTTTTTCTTCTGCTGGGACAGGACACAAGAGCAGTTGTTGCTACTCTAGGGCTTATTGCAATGTACTAGATAGGGTGTGGATGGAGCAGCAGTTCCAAATATGCCAACATCCATGTTATTTGGCATTGTGGTGGCCACAAGGACATATGTATAGGAACCTTAGTTGCCTGCTAGGCCTTCTGAATTGGATTGCGTACTGTTAATCACACATTCTTAACTTTAAGCATAACTGCATCAGTGTTTCCTTTCAATTCTACTTTTCCTAAAAGTTACCATGTACTGTCTGAATCTTCCTAATACCATATCACCCAGCAGACAAACTACACAGTTCCATTGCATGTATCCGCAGTTTTCTGTTTTATAAGGAAAATCTGTAGCACAGGTTTTTCTTCATGTTTGCAAAGTAGATGTCCTGAAAAACCCTACTGCAAGTGTCTATGGTGAAGCTATGGCAACGGTGTTGCAATAATCAACATCAAGAAAACTGAAACCAAGTTTTGCATGCATTATCTCTGTATGAGTTATTTCATGCCTTTTTCAAGATTTCTAAAAGA